GTGTAGTCCTGATCCTCATCACTGGAATCGGGAGGGGTGGGGGTGGTTGCGGTTGTTGTGTCGTGGTTGGCGATGTGTGAGACGGCAGCCTGAACGGCCACCGCTGGGGCAGTGGAGGAGAAGGAGGAGGATGGAAGTGGTGATGCAGAAGGAGTGTCAGAGTTAGTTGGCGACACAGAGGGCGAGGAAACGGCGGGCTGGGGGACGATAGGTGGAGCAGTTCGAGAGGTGCAGTTGGTTCGAAGATGTCCAACAAGTCCGATTCGTGCCCGGAATGTCCGTTGACATCGAGGACACGTAGGGAGAGGTTGTGCGGCGGCGTTGCGTATTGGGCGAACATGTGATTTGCGGGCTTCGCGTTTCACTTTGGCGGCGGCGATTCGGTTGGCTTCATAGATAGCAGCGCCCGTCTTCACTGTTCTCCTCCATGTCGGACGATCGCGGGCGAGCTCTTCCCAGTTGGTCGGGTTGATTTGCAGGCGCTTCAGGGAGGACTTCAGAGTATCCTTGTAACGGCGAATTTGGCCTCCTTGACGACGAGAACCCGTCGCGACGTCTCCGTAGAAGAGTCATTTGGGTAGTCGCTCGTCGTCCATGTGCACCAGGTGGCCGCTCCAGCGCAGCTGCATTTGTTTCAGTATGGCGTAGATGCTGAGGATTCCCGTTCGTTCCAGTACTTCCGTGTCGGGGATGCGGTCCTGCCAGTTCAGCCTCAGGATGCGGCGGAGACAGCTGAGGTGGAAGTGGTTTAGTCGACGTGCCTGCCTGGTGTACACCGTCCAGGTCTCCGCTCCGTACAGCAGCGTCGGCAGGATGACGGCCTTGTACATCTTCAGCTTTGTGCTCAGTTGGAGACCATGACGATTCCAAACTGTGCTTCGGAGGCGTCCGAAGGCTTGACTGGCATTCGAGATCCTGCTGGCGACTTCGTCGTCGATCTTGGTGTTGCGGGAGAGCGTGCTGCCCAGGTACGGAAAGTTCTCTACCACTTGCAGTTGAGTCCCATTCACGTTGATTTGCGGCGGCGCGTTGGGGGCGGTGGCTGAGTCGGGAGGCGGCTGATACATCACCACCGTCTTCTGCGTGTTGATAACCAGCCCAAAGTTTTCGCAGGCGGCGGAGAATAAGTCCATGCTGCGTTGCATCTCCGCTTCGGAGGTGGTGTTCAGGGCGCAGTCATCGGCGAAGAGGAGTTCGTGCACGGTGGCTGTGGATACACGCGATTGGAAGTTCATGCGCCGTTGATTCAGGAGATGACCGTCCGTTCTGTAGGCGATGCGGATTCCAGGGCGTTCGTCGCGGTAAGCGTCCATCAGCATGGCAGAGAACATAAGACTGAAGAGGGTTGGTGCCAGCACGCATCCCTGCTTCACTCCGTTGGTCACTGCGAATGCCTCTGAGACAGCTCCGTTGTCCGTGACTCGCGCCATCATACCGTCGTGCAGCTGACGCACCATCTGAGTGAATCGCTCCGGACAGCCGAACTTCTGCATGATCTTCCACAGTCCTTCACGATTCACTGAGTCGAAGGCTTTCGTCAGGTCCACGAAGGTAGAGTACAGGTGGGTCCGCATCTCCTGGCACTTCTCCTGAAGTTGGCGGGCGGCGAAGATCATATCCGTGGTCCCACGATGACGACGGAAGCCGCATTGGCTTTCCGGCAGAAGGCCCTGTTCCAGATGGTTATTGAGGCGGTTGAGCAGGATGCGAGCGAAGATCTTCCCGGCGATGTTCAGTAGGGAGATGCCGCGGTG